GAGAGAAATGGTTTGATGAACTCTTCCCCTCCATAACAATCACTTTTAGCAAAGATTTCCTCTGTAATATTGGTCACAACCTGGGTTTCCCCCTTGACTCAGCATGGTACTAGGATAACCAAGTAGCTAATGCAGCAAGACACTAACAACCCATCTGTGACTGGCCAGAAAATGGTGCCTATTGAACGCAGACCTGGCCACAGTGATTCACACATTTGTAATATCTGGACTGAACCAATGCAATTCTTGATATCATGGATCTCAGACTACGGATTGCAACGTCCCTCCTTTTCTTTATTTGGCTAGTAGGGACAGGGTCTTGAAACTCTGTCAGGGAGGTACTGGAACTTTTTTCTATTGTACCATGCGATCATAGTAAAGAAAAGGCCTCATTCCCTTTCTTTACGTGCCTATTGGGAACAGGGTCTTGAAACTATGGCAGGGAGATATTGAAATTTTTTTCTACTGTAACATGCAGTCACAGTAAAGCAAAGGTTGAGAATCACTGCTCTATATCTGGAAAGCAAACTACATGCCCTGGGACAGTTCCAGCTGGCTCAGAATGCAGCAGCTTGACTATTCAGCAGGAACACATGACCCTAACAAACCATTCTCTGGATTGGCTCCCCACTGTACACAGTTCAAAGTCACTGTTCTGATTTTCAAAACCTTGCATAGAATTGATCCTGGCTATCTGAGAGCACATCTCTCCATCCATGACCATGTCCCCCCACAACAGCTGAGTTTCACTAGAATAATGATGTTGCCAACCAAAAGGAATAGGTTTGTGTTTGCAGAAGACAGAACCTGCACAAGAGCTGCATCAAGAATATGGAATTCACTGCCAAATGAATAAGAATGACCCTTAATATTGCTGCATTCAGGGCAAAATGTAAACCCCACCTGTTCGCCCAGTATTTCGCACAATAGTATCCTCATTCTCATAAATTCATTAATTATAAAATAAAATATAAAAACCCTAATCCTGCTTCTAGAGGCAGGGAAAGGAGGAAGAAAACACCATCATATTTTAAGCAATTAGATGAGATCAGATCCTACAGTGATGAGCGTCATATAAATACAGTGGAACCCCAATTATCTGATCTAATTGGGATCAGGGTCAGATCTGATAACCAAAAATCTGGATAAACTGAAAAATGGGTGGCTGGGTTCTCACTGTCAGCCCCAGGCAGTGGGAGCCCCCGCTGCTGTCAGCCCCGGGCGGCTGGTGGTTCAGTTAATATGGAGAGCTGGATAATGGAGGCTCAGTTAAACAAAGTTCTACTGTACCCAGATTGAAAGTTGGGCTTTTAAATGCTATCTTATGTTAATATCTACTTGGCACATCACTAAGTTGCTCTAATATTAAATTATCTACAAAGAAGCAGCATTCAGTTAGCTTCTTATACTCTTTCCTTCCTACCTTCATTCACTCACCCTCAGTTCTCACTTGAAATCTCAGGTGTGGGGTCAAATTCATTATATGGATACTTGTGAGGGGTGTGTACCCCACAAAGGCCCTGAATGGGTTAATGTGGGCCTGAGAGGCCAATTATGTTACCTGCCTGCACCTGGAGTCAGAGCCAGGCTTAACTGATGATGAAGCTCAGCTGGGCAGGAACAGGCTGGTTAGTATAAAGAGGCAAAGTTTGTAGCAGAAGTGGGGCTTCAGGGAGAGTGTCTGCAGTCACTCGCTGGGAACAGAGAGGTGGTGAGGAGGAAACCCAAGGGGACGAATAAGCTCTGGGACCCTACCTTGACTGGAGAAGCTGGCAAACTGCCAGGGAAACATAAAGCAGCTACTGGGGTGCAGCAGGCCTTGTGGTGTGCCCTGAAAGAAGGGAAGGATTTGGACTGCCAGGGACAGAGAGACCTGGAAGATGTTCTGTGGAGGAACAGAGTAAAGGGAACTTAAGAAGCTTGAAAGGGCAAGCCTGAGAAAGATTGGGTAAGAAGGAGCCAAGGGAAACAGCAGCAAGGAGAAGGACTGTGCGGACCTTGGCTGCTGGTTATAGGTTCCCTGGGCTGAAATCTGGTGTAGTGTATGGGCCCAGGTTCCCCTACCAGACACTGCGAAGGTGGCCTGAGTCCAGAGAATGGTACAAGGACATTGGAAAGCCCTAAGGCAAGGGTGTGAGGACCAGGGGCCTGGAGATGGGGAGTCTGAAGAAATCTGTCTTATGTTGGGTTTCTGTTATCTTGAAAGGGGCAACTAAAACATGACCTGGTGAGAAGGCCAAGTTACAGGGAGAGACACCACTGCAGTGACAGAGCAAGCATCAGCATATGGTGCCATGTGGGGGAGAGAGATGCTATGCCACAACTAGCCAGATGGAGGTTCTCCTGCAGTGTGAACATCCTTTACAATGCTCAACTGATCAACATCAGCAGCAATGGAATCCAGTAATTCTACCCACAGATAAGGAATGAAAAAAGTTGCTGCAGTAGGCGAGAGAGAAGCTTTAAATCAGCCATGGATTATTCAAACTACACGCACACTGCTGACTAAGGAGTAGGTGAGGGCACATCCAAGGTCATGAAAAAAAATCTTTCCTTTGTGCCAATCCCATCCTTACTGACATATATCACTATTACACAACAGGTCCAGGCAAGCAAAATTAGACAGAGCAAAACATGAACACACATTTATCTACTACACAATATATTTTCTATTAGGAAGAAATGTATGCATTGAAACTTGCCAACACTGAATAAAAAACAATAATTCACTTTTGAGCTCAGTTGTTAGTGGGCCTCTTTTGAACAAAGATGCTTTGCCAAATTGTGCATGGTAATGTTGCAGTGTGGAGTCATGCCTGAAGGAATTAAACTCAGACAACTCTGTTCTGTAAACAAATATTGTTCAAGCATCAAATGAACTGTTTTCCCAGAGGTAAATGAACAGTACTATGAACTAATGCATTATTCTAATTCACCCAATCCACTAGCTACTTGAAGGTTACATCAATCGTCAAAGATGCATATAACCAATCAAGCTAGTGTTCACTCACATTCATAGAGTGAAATAATATTGTGTAAAAATGGCTTTAGGCATTACAACTTTTGATCTAAATCCAAACTACAGCATTAGGCAAATTTTTGCTTTTAGAGCTGGAAAATACTTTGCAAATCTTGCTGAGGAAGTAAAAATGATAACAATATATTCAGTTTTGCCACTTGATAAGTAATGTCAAATATACCATACACACATTTGAGAAAAGGCAAGTAACTGTGCTACAAAGACAGGCTATGACTGACATTGGCACATATTAACAGCCCTTGCTCAGCCATGCAAACACTGGGGAGCAAAGCCCTTTTACTCCCCTGTGCAGATTGTACTCCAGCCTCAGGTGATGGAGAGCAGTCTACTTGCTAGATACTAATCCCTGAGAGGAAGTGGCTGGGGAGTGGAAAGGACCAGAAATGAGAAGCCCTGTCTCTTCTGTCCCAACTCATTTTTGAGCGCTGTTGCACCTCCCTACTCTAGAAACTTTGATGCTTTCAGACACTGATTTTTCTTGATGTGACTTGTTTTCCTAATTTGTGTTGTGATTATAAAAACAGGTTACAAGCTACTATTTAGCAGTAATCATGCTAATAAAGATCAATGTCTAAACACGCATAAGTCTATTCAGTAGAGGATCAGGACAGTTCTCATAAGTCTTTGCCCGGAACAAATTTACAGGTGCCACTTACCTTTCAATTTCTGGTATCTTAATATAACATTATATTGATTTCTACATATCAGAACACAAATCCCCCACACAATCTTCCACTTATCTCTATTCAAGTATGCTTGTAGTACAAACTACTACTCAATAGTAGTCCCACCAATCATATAGAAAGAAATATCATATTTCACAAGAAAGCTAACAGCATGAAGCTTTGGAACACACAGGTGTGGAGAAGAGCAGGTGCACATCCCAGCACTGAACAACAGGTTGTTTAGCAGACATTCCTTAACTGAAAGAACCACAATGCTCTCTATTCTGGACTGTGGTGTTTGGGAGGGAAAGTTCAAAGGTGATTAACTCTCAGAGTGGTAATTTTAAGAATGTCTATTTTGTTCCCAGACCTCCTCTAGTAAATACCTTTTTGACAGATAAAGTCAATTGACCTTCGCTTTACAGAAATCCCTTGAACACTCCCTTCAAAGCTTTAACATTTTCTCTTGGGAGGTTTATTGCACTGTGAAATCTATTTTTACCAAAAAAATTTGACAGAGATACAACTAGTTTTTAGAGGCAGAATTCTTCATGTCAACCACATATGGACAAATAAAATTGATATTACACATCAACATGTTCATCAAGTTTATCATTTTCAGGAAGCTAAGTGGAACATATATAAGAACTTCAAATGGCCCTCTACTGCTGGTCCTAGCCATTGAAATATACTTAAAATTCTGCTTCTAACAACCACACTGTTCATAAAACCTTAATTTCACTGAATAAACACATTTTATATCACAGGAATAAAGAACAGTTGTTCTACAGACTACTTTATTTTAGAGCCAGTATTGGGGAAAAAACAAATTTCAATATAACTATAGGTTTGTGCAACAATTTATATAATAAACCATACATTCAGATTGTTTGAGGACGTGTAAATATTAACCACAGTTGTTTAAATCATTGTTGTAAATGCTCCTTTGTAGTTTTTCATATTACATAGTGTGCTACATTAAAAATTGTTCTAGTTTAAAAGACATTCTATTCTAATACTGGTTTGGAGAAACCTTTCTAACCTATTTGAAACTAGTATATTACTGTCAAAAAAAGGGTTTGGTTTGCCTAACAGCAAACAAGTATAAGAAAAAAATTCAAAGTAACTATTACATACAAGGCTCTAGCTAAAGGAAAACTGTATGTTGAGAATGCTTAGCCACCACCAGCCCAGTGAAATTTTCCCATCCTTTTAAAGAAATGTATCTGGTCACACAGTTTTATGGTGTTTTTTGTTTTTGTTTTTTTTTAAATGAGAGTGAAAGTAGTACTCACACTATTTGGGTGCTGAATGGCAGCTTCATGCTGCAGTCTCACCCTCTGTGGCATCATCACATCATCCTGTAATAAATAGCACACTGTTACTGAACAGAAAAAGGGTCACAGTACAGTTCTCAAACACACACTAGAATACGTTGTTAGGTTAACAATCATTTCACCAGCCTGCAGACAAAACCTTTTTTTAAATACAAAGGCAGAAAATATTAAAACCACTTTGACCACTGTTTGGTTTCTTTTTAACTGGACTATAACATAGAGATTAAAGGTATTTTAAAAAGAACCAAATTAAATTTTGCAGAACTAAAAATTAGACTTTAGGCATTATCCCTCTCTTGGGGGTCTCTAGGAACACGTTTGAGTGAAGATCCTCTATCTACCACCCCCTCCTGAGCATTTAGACCATTCAGCCCACTAACCAGCCCCTCCAAACAGTTCTGAGCCCTCAGACTCCAGCCATAGCTTAAACACGCCATCTCCCAGAACACTACCTGAAAGTGAGTGTCTTCTGGTTTACCTCTTCAAGGGGCACATGGTAGGTATAATGCATTAAATGCACAGACACTTTGCATAGGATTCTAGCACACTATTGCTCTTTACTTAAGCATGAGAAATACAAAGAGTACAGATGGTATAGGGAAAAAAAAACAAATATCCTAAATGTAATGCCCCTCACTCAAGTCTAGCTCATCCATCCATTGGGAATCCTTGGGGGAAGTAATCGGTGTTCAGGTAGGCAGATGTTCTCCCCTGCCTCATCAGGCTCTGGAAGCAGCTTCCCTTAGAACAGCGGTTCTCAAACTGTGGGTCGGGACCCCAAAGGGGGTTGCAACAGGTCACCAGGGCTGGCTTAGACTTGCTGGAGCCCAAAGCCAAAGCCCAAACCCCACCGCCTGGGGCCAAAGCCCAAGCCCCACAGCCTGGGGTCAAAGCTGAAGCCTGAGGGCTTCAGCCCTGGTTGGTGGGGCTCAGGTTACAGGCCCCCTGCTTGGGTTTGAAGCCTTTGGGCTTTGGCCCCCCAGCTCAGGGTGGTGTAGCTTAAGCTTTGCTCCCCCCCTCCCCCCGCTCAGGGCTGTGTAGCTCAGGCTTTGCCCCCCTCTTCCCCCCCCCCGGGGCAGCAGGGCTCGGGCAGGCTCACGCTTCAGTCCCTCTTCCTGGGGTCGTGTAGTAATTTCTGTTGTCAGAAGGGGGTCGCGGTGCAATGAAGTTTGAGAACCCCTGCCTTAGAGAGAGTCAGTGAAAGTGGCTGAAGACCTAGTTCTTCGGGGGGGGGGGGGGAGGGAAGGAGCGCACCCGGTCTAGGACATTTGTAGTTGAATAGAGGGACATCCCTAGTTAATGAGTCTCTTTGAAATTTTAGTCCAATATGGAGGCAAAGAGACCTCAGAGAGGCAGTTAGCTCCCTCATTCAAAATGGAGTTTGCATCTTGGTAAAGATACATACAGAGTTCACAGTCTGACACAGAATTCATAAGTTGTACACACAAATCTCCCAAATTCCCACAAGACCTCTAATGGTACAGAACAGGGAGTTATAATGTTCACTGTTTTGTGAAGTCAGAGAAATAATCTGAGTAAAATTTTATGGTACCTGCAGTCTACAGTTCCCTGGTCATTCATTTGGACATTTACTTTGTTATTTTTAAGTAGATTTTTGAGAGGTGACAAGCCTTGTAATTGAAGATTGTACACTAGGTGCACAGTATGACAGAGATCATGACACATATGTATAAAAAAGCCATGTATAGAAGAGCTCCTCAACTCCACAGGCTAACTAAAAATAAAATAGATATTGTTGATAAAGTTAAAGTTATAGCTGATAAAGTCCTTCTCTCAAAAGTCCTTCATCAAGAGGTCTATAGAGTGAAGTATTGGAAAATAATAGGACAGAATTAAGGCTGCTCGGGTTACCTTAGCTGAACATTTCCATACTTTCCATTGTTTTATTTCATTTTGTTATTAAAATGTAACTTTAACATTGAAATTCCAGACTAACTACAAGATTCTCTCAAGTAACTGATGAGTATTTTCAACCCTTTTTTATGGTATACAGAGTTAATAAATGCCTAGGACAAATTCTGGCTCTAAAGCTCTGACCAAGAAGGAATTCCAGAATGCAGCAGTGGTGTCCAACCTGGCTCCCACAAAACAAACAGAGCTGATAGTCCACAAGCCTGTCCAGGAGTGCTCTGTGTGGTAGGGTGAAGAGATCAAAGTTCATGTTTTTTGGCATGAACCATCTGATTCCTTATGCATCCTTCACTTCTTGAATTATTTGTGCTCCTGGCATGAGTATTCTGCACAGACAGATGTGAAAGGATGGCGTGGGTTCTCTCAGGCTGGCCAAAATGCAGGTGCAAATCAGCACTGCTTTTGTAGAAGAAAAGAAGTCTAGAATTTGGCCTTTGATATTTTTGTGAATGCCTTTAGCCATAGCAACTATTTTGCGATTGGTGGTTTTATTTGTTTAATTTTTCAAATCAATATTATCAAACTTTTCAAACCTTTATGAAGTTTATTAGCAAACCCAACTCAGCTTTCTTTTGAAACAAGCTTTTTGAAAAAATTCCTTTCAACTCCCATGATCAGCTTAGTAAGCAGGTATACTAGCAGAGGCGTAGCGAGCGCCCTCCGTACCCTCCGACCGGAGGGGGCCCCGCAAGGAAGGGGGCCCCTAAAAGTGGCAAAATAAATACCGCATTCCAGTTTCTGCATTGTAAGGGGCCCCGCCCGGACATATGTTCGGAGGGGGCCACGTTCTTTGTTGCTACGGCCCTGTATATTAGGAATATTTGTACAATAGATAGCTACAGTAGACCCCCAGATATATGGAGAGTAGCATCAAACAGTCTAGAACCCGTGCAGAAAACAGCAATATAAAATGCCCATGGTTTACAAGAATCCATGAATAAAAGTAAAATGCTGCCTTCCTGCTCAACCAGTCAGGTGCCCTAGCTGTTATTGCATCTGCCATGGAGTGACATCGAGGGGGAAAAGGCTAAATTATCATTGAATGTTACTAAAAAAATAGCAATCTCAGAGCTATAACTCCACCTGGAGGGTCTGGTGAGTACACAAGCCTCTTGACCTTTGGTTTCAAGATTTGAAGATAACAACAGAACCCCTTGTTGAAAGTGTAGTCCCATGACTCATAGGAGCTTGTTTTTTTTAAATTTTGTATATATAACGCATGCACCTGTCAGTCTTTGTATAAAAAAAATAGAAAACCCATTACAAAAATGTTTTAATTCTACAGTATTTTCAGCATGCAAGTCAGTAACCCAGTGAGCTAAGAATTGTTACCAAATAAATACAAAGAACAGGGCTTTTGTTTTCTTAGTATTAGAAGTATGAGAGTCTATTCTCCCATCGACTTATGGGGGGAGTATCACAGAAAACGTGTGTGTATGAATAATAATTACAGGTACAATGCATCCCACATATCAATGATGGAAATACAAACTGCGCACAGTGTAATCAAACAAAGGATATTCCACTGGAACACTAGAGCAATCTAATTCTGAAGGAGAAATCCAAAAAACTGTGAAGAGGTTACACAGAGTCTGTAAGCTCCATCAGAAAGACACAAAACCCAACAAAAAACAAAAATTCAGGAATGTGATATGAAGCTATTTACTTCTAGGTCAGTAGTTTGAATACCAGGTCAGTAGTGACCAAAAGTTACTGTCTGAAAATTGTCTTTTCACTTCAGTACAATTCCTGTAGATACCCTACACATCTTAGACCCCTAAAAATACCCACCACCACCACAACTGGAAACCTCATTAGGAATATCAGCAGAGAGGCAGAGGACTGAATAGGAGAACGAGCTAACCTCTCATCTTGAGAGGCTCTCACTGCAAGTCAGAATTAAGAAATGCTGGCAGCATGAGGAAGTGTTCTTTGCTGCCTGTTTGTTCTTTACTTGTTTTGTTGGTAAGTAAAAGACTTCAATCTTCAAGCTTGTCATGCAGTCTCTTTCATGATCACAAAAAATCATGTTTGTAAAAAGATTGAAGAAAACTAAAAAGAAACCCAGAGTCTGTAAAACATCAAACATTCCATATACTCTAACATTATTTTACAAAAATATTACTCCTAGCAGGACTTTTAAAACAGAATGCATCAGCAATTAGACTGTACTTAAAACATACTCCATAAATTTAGATTTTGAATTCATTCTTCTTTCCACTCTAGCATAAAGAGACAGTGTTTTCTTAAACAAGATAGGCAGTCTTGTAAAACTGGGGTAATTCCCTTCCTGCTCTGAACAGAGTACAAATACCTCTTACATAGTCCAAACTTACCCTCTTCCTGGGGTATGGTATTAATGTTTTTAAAATATTAATAAAATCAAACTTTAGCCCGAGCTTTCTCTCCAAGATAAGCTGTTCTATAGAGTTTCCTCTGTTCCAGCCCCTTGTTCCCTTCACTTCATAGAAACATTCCAACTTTTCTCATATGTTGGTTGGAGCTAAGAGATCACTCACCTATCACCCTGAATGAGCAGTATCTACTTCACTTATCTATGTGAAGTTCTAGCAACTGGGCTAAGTGTGAATGAACAGAGGAGCCCTGAATCCCTATACTGTGTCCTAGACGCTGCCATTAGAGCTGGTTGGAAATTTTCTGATTAAGTTGAGTTTTGTCAGAAATGCTGGTTTGTCAAACCAGAAGTGTCTCCTGAAAGCAAGCCTCCTCAAATTGCAGGCAGGCTTCAGCAGTGAAACTGACAAAAATGTCAGTTTCAGTCAGCAGCTGCCTATCTGAGGTGGCATATTCTGTTTCCCAAACACCATGTATCAGTCAGTGTTTCCTAAGCTCAATTTGGGCAGGGGGTTTCCAGTTCGTGGGAAATTTTTAAAAGTTTGATTTGGGGCTGTTTCAGACCTACACAATTGAAATATTGAAATATCATGCGAACATAAATTTGTAATCTCAAGTTTTGGCCAGCTCTAATTGCCATCCTCTTGCATTTCTATACAGCAATGTCATTTTTCTGAGATCTCTACTAAGAACAAGTAACAAATATTCAACCAACCTTTCTTCCTTTCTTA